GAATGGTGTCAGCATTGGGGAAAGGCTGAATGAGAATCAACCATGTGCTCAGTACCCAGCAAGAGATTAGCCTTCTTGAATGTTTGCTTCCATGGGTTGATCTAAGCTTTGGAGAGTAGCAACTATGAAATATCAAGTACAAATTTCCCTCATCTGCCCATCTCATCCTCCTTTCACCACTGATGTCACTAACTGTACTCTCCATGTATAAATGTACTAAAGAGAAGTAACTCAAGTCCCAGTCAAATACACTGAAATTTTAGGAAAATTTAATATATTCATGTGCAAATCTTCCTGTACGTCTGGCCAGACTCACTCTGAGAAAGGACAATGCTATTTCCCTGATAGATAATGTCTCTTAAAAGAGTCTGTATTCCCTTCTCCTCTCCCAGGGTTCACAAGGTAATAATTTTTAAATACATTTTATTTTTAATGTTTTTAGAAGGTAATGAAACTGCGAACCATTTCTGCTGGTGCTGAGGTTTGAGTAGTGATCAAACTCTCTGCCTCAATCATTTCCATAGAGGGCATGAGGCAACTGATAGGAAAAGAAAGACCCTGGACTGTGGGTGTACATAATGAATGGGGAGTAGGATTCTGGGCACCACAATATAATCAGTCCAAAGGTCTCATCCATAAAGAGACCGCAGCTCCCAATGAGAGTGCCTAGAAGGATCAGTAAGTCTTTGAAAATACCACCCTCCCTTTGTCCATCATTTTTCTCTCTTCCCCTCCAAACATTTAGAACACCTACCAAAACTATGGAAATACCTCAAAAGATTAATAGTCAGGGCCCTCCCTGGTGGTGCAGCGGGTTAAAGCACAACACTAAGAAGCTAAAGCCACTTCAGCATGAGCTCCGATCCCCCGCCCCGGAGGTGACTCACATGGCGCGGCAGACCTCTTCTGACCCGCCCGCTGCTCCCCTCAGCAGTGTACTTTGTTGATCTGCCTGTTCTGCTCCCCACTCTGTCTCTGGTGAAGCCTCTCACCACTCCTGAGCCTCTAGCCTGTACCCCAGTTCTGTATGCACAAATAAATAAATCTTTGGGGAAAAAAGGATTAATAGTCAAAGTATCATGTGATACAGAATTCCACATCTGAGTGTTTATATGAAAACACTAGTTCAAAAAGATATCCCCAATCTCATGTTCCTCTGTGCCATTATTTACAATAGGCAAGACATGGAAACTGAAAGTCCATCAACAGATGACTGGATAAGGAAAATGTGGTTATGAACATTGAAATCCAACTTGTCATAAAATGAAGGAAATCTTTCCATTTGTGACATGGATGAACCTTAAGTGTATTATGTTAAGTGAAAGAAATCAGACAGAGAAAGAAAACTTTGTATGATTGTGTTTATATTGGGGAAATAAAAAAAACTCAGTTCAGACACCAGAAAGGAGGGGCTAGAACAGAGCAAAATGGTTGATGAAGATCAAGGCATCGACTTTCAGTTATAAAATAAATTATTGTAGAGTTGTGATGTAGAGCATGAGGACTAAAGTCACTGATGTTATATTTCAAATTTCAGTGCCAAGAAAAGTAGACATATTATGGTGATCATTTCACAACGTATACAGGTGTCACTACATTGACACCTGAAACTAATATGTTTTATGTCAATGATACTTCAGTTAAAAAAAAAAAAAGTAAGAAGAAATAGAGAAGGAAATGAATTGGAGTGCTAAGAAAATCTTCACAAATCTGAAATCCAGCACACCTTCTGAGATCTCAGGAGTAGCAAAACAGAGTGAGCAAGGACACCTAGAATTGTCTGTTGCAGGACAATACTAGGAAATATTTAAATACAAAGCATTTGCTGAGAATCACCTGTCTGGCTTAGTGAGAAGTTGTGGTGCTGACTTCAGTGATTCTTCAAGTGACCCTGGGCAGCCTGACCTGAGTTGAACAAAAAGCTCACTCTGGTATTCTGTCCTGGAAAGCCTGTTCCCCGCTGGCCTGTTCAAGGTCTCCTGGCTGAGAGGAGCTCCTTAGAACATTAACTGTGAGGTGACATGTGAGGCTAACAAACTTCACTGGTGCCCAACTGTATTAGTGTGCTAGAGTTGCCAAAATAAAGTACCACAGACCTGGAGGTTTAAACAACAATTTATTTTCTCGCAGTTCTGGAGGCCTGAAGTACAAGATCAAGGTGTCTATATGTTTAGCTTCTCCTGAGGCTTTCTCCTTGGTTTACGAATTCCCTCTTCTTATAAGGACACCAGTTATATTGGATTATGACCACCCTAATGATCCAATTTTAACTTAATCATCTCTTTAAAGGCCCTAGATCCAAATGTAGTCATATTCTGAGGGTTAGGAATGCAATATATGGATATTGGAGGAAATACAATTCAGCTCATAGTTTCAGCCACTTCTGATGCTATAAATGCCCAGATATTATCCTGAGTCCACTTTTAGGGAGTTAGATGAGATGACACAAATACAAACGCCCATCAGATGTCCAAACTAGCACATCCTGGCTCTGGAGAAAAGAACAGATTTCAAAATAACCTAGGGAAGTGGGTAGAAGGAAAAAAAAAAAAAACCTTGGTTTGACATTTTGTTTATTTACACTTTGCTTTGTTCTAGAAAGGATATGAGGGGAGGAGACTCCTAGATTAAGGCATAAAGGTCTGTCCTGCCTGCCTTTTCACTCTCTTACTTCCACCTCCACCTCATCTTCACTTTGTGGTGATGAGAGTGCCCAAAGTTGAACCCTGGGGTGAGGGTAGGGAAGGCACGTAGGAAACAGTTTATCACTGTAGAACATGGTGCTCTAGTGCTTACCAAAGTTAATGTCATGCCCATGTGTCTCTGAAAAATGAAATGTGCATTCTGGCATACAAAGCATGGTAGTGAAGAACTAGTTATATTTTTTCAGAGAATTGTCATTAAAGCATGATAAATTTGGAGAAGCCATTAGAAAATATTAATTTCTGTATTCGAGGATTAACAGTTCTGTATTACACACCTGTTATGGGGCAAGTAGTCCACTGATCATTTTTGACTACAATGGTGAGCAAGTCCTCAATAATAATAGCAAACACATAAATTGCAAAGCACTTGTATGTTAAACCACTTACATACTTACAAAATGAATATTTTACAGCAGAAGAAGCTGAGCAAAAGAGATTATTTTATATTGCTCAAATTCACACAAAGACAAACTAAGACAAATATTTGTGATTTTTCTCCTTTACCAGGTTTGTAAATTAACTTTTTAATTTTATTACAGCATTGCTCATTTTTGTACAGTATTTGATTTCTTCCCTCAGGTGTATTTCCTGTAAATCTCCCACCACCACATCACCTGTGAACTGTCACCATGATCCCTTGTCCTCTTCTCTCCCTGTTTTGAACACTCTTCCTTCTTCTCTCCTATTGTAAGCCTTAGTTTCATGGTTTGAGGCAAATATTTGAATTTAGGGAAATCTGGGTGGCTCTAAACTACACATTGGTTAAACCCACATGATTCTGCCATAGATATTTAGAAGTTAGGCAGGGAACTTAAGGAGTCTTTTTCTCCAGATGTTTAGGTAGGCTGAGGTCCATAAGCGCTTCCCTAAATATATAACTGAGTTCTCAGATTGATCTAGGACAGGGAGTAAGAGGAAGAGATGCTCAATAAGGGGAGCTCAGGAGGGGGCTAAGATTTGGAATTTTACTTGTGAAAACCTGGACAGAAGATCAAAAAGTGATTAGATTTAACTTAAAAATAAAGCAGTATTAAGTGTATTAGAACTCCAACTCTATTTTGGAAGTGATGAAAATATGAACCTGAGTTTTCTGAGCTCTAGCAGGAGACCGGTTAGGTTAGAGTCCACACAAAGCCGCAGGGAACTCCTAATTCCACCTTTAGTCACCAAGGTACTTGTATAAACTCCCACTGTTTTCTTGGGCTCAGTGAAATGGCACTGCAGAGTAATTTTAGTGGATCAGAAGAAAGGGATAGGCCTTGCAGCTGAGAAACTTAAACTTGCAAACAACCGATTTACGCTGTCCGGAAATGCCTTGCGTTTATTTGGTGGTGCCCGGGTTTAGCAGCGTTAAAGAATGAGAGGTCGAAAAGGTCATTCATTCCTCATTACCAGAAGCTAGTCACAGTGCAGGCTTCACTAGGGTTTTGCGTTTAGGGTATAAAGCCCGGCGCTGTCATCGTGGCATCTCGTGTTTGGCCTATGTGAGAGCCGCTTCTTTGCATCCAAGCATTAGGGATCAAGGAGCTTCGTGGCCCTGCAGCCAGGAGGGCGGCAGTCCACCGAACAGGCTGACCACAAAGGACGGCCAGCGGCCTTCGCTCCCATTAGGAGCTGACCGCAACACTTGTAAGGCCAGACCGTCCTTCTGGTAGCAAACGCGCGGGCTGCGAGACTGGCAAGCAGGTCACAGGCCCTCGATGCTAGGTCGAAATCGCCCAAGCAAAGCTCCGGGCCGGGGTCCCAGGCTCTGCACTGTCTCACAACCCCACAGCCTTTAATCTGCAGCCGCGCCACCAGGGCCGTTCTTTGCGGGTGGGGACGGGCGCGGGGCGGGGCTGGGGCAGGGCCTCGAGTTGGATGGGCGGGGCTGGGCTGACCGCGTGGTCCGCGGGGCGGGTAGGGTCCACAGGGCAGGCAGAAGAAGGAATTGGGGCGGGGTTGAGGGCGGGGCTGGGCAGGGCGTGAGTGGGACGTGAGGGGCGGGGCGGGGGTGAAACTCGGAGCCGCCCCCTGCGCTGGGCGGGGCGGAGCTCTGCGAGGAAGGGCCAGGGGGAGGCGCGAAGCGTGAAGAGGGCCTCGCGGCAGGGAGGACCTGACTGGACCTTGGGCGGGACGAGGGCGGGGCGGGCTGCCGACGCCCAGCGGAAAGGGGCGGGGCCGACGTAGGGTGAGGTGCGGACCGAGGTGGGCTTCCACAACTCGCGGGTGGGGGCGGGGCTATGTGGAGGGCGTGTCCAGAGCCGTGTGGGTGTGGCTAAGGGCGGGTATGGGGCGGAGCGGGGTGGGGCGCGGGACGCGCGGCGCGGCTACTCCGCTGTCGGCTGGGTCTTCGCGCTTCCCGCGGACATAGCTGAGGGGCCTGCGGCGGCTAAAGCAGAGGGCTGTGCGTGGAAGAGGAGGGCTTGCGGAGCCTAATTTCGGGGCCGCAAGCGCCGGTGGGGACCCGGCAAGGAGGGCTGGAAGTGGCGGGGACAGGCGAGGCCGCGATGAAGCCGAGCGGCGAGGACGGGGCGGCGCCCTCCGTGGGCCCCTGGGAGGAGTGTTTCGAGGCTGCGGTGCAGCTGGCGCTGCGGGCGGGACAGGTGAGCAACGCGTCCTCCCCCCTGGCGGGCAGGTCTCCGGGAGCGCCCCCGGGCCGACGCCCCGGCCACATCACGCCCACTTGCAACTTCTGAAGTCACTGCAAGAGTCAGGTCGGACGGAGGGAGACCTGTGGGGCTCGAAGGAGCGGGGTCCTGGGTGGCATGTGACTGTGGGGGCCAGGCTGGGGCCCTGAGTGTGGGGGGTTGGGGGCGAGGGTCGGCCCTTAAGATGCGGAACTTGGCCGGGTCGGGCGGGCCGCAAGCAGTGGGCGTCAGAGCTTAGCGGGCCGGGGGTGCTAGGGCAAGAGACAGTGAAAGAAGTCTTTGTGCTCGTTTCCTACACAGACTTTCCCTTTACCTTCCCCACCCCAGGAGCCGGAGGTGAGCACCTCCTCCTGGGTAGTCCTCGCCGTGGCCGCGGCTCACGAAGCTGCCTGGCACAGCCCCCCTCCTCTGGCAGGTGAATGGCTGACTGTAGGTGACTTGACCTTTGTGTGGACTGGATTGGCTATGCAGGAAGGACCAGGGTTTTAAAGTACCTCTTGATCTTGAATACCTCAGCTGTTTGTCTTAAATGACCTTTTTAATTGATCCAGTGGCCTAACCTGCGCGTGGTTGCCCCCAATCCATGGGGACCTGGCAGACAGGCTTTGGTTGTCTTTCCTCGAGCATCTTAAAGCTACCCGTGACCTGACCCTCAGAAGCTCCATTCAGTAACTGGAGGAACTTGTCACACTGACCAGAGCAAGAAAATCAAGCTGCAGAGCTAAAGAAAACCACTTATTAGTTCCAAAAAAGCAGTGTAGCTCCTCTCTTTTCTCACGTTGGGTTATGTGTATTCGTTGGGTTATGTGTATTTAGTTCTCCTCCTTTTCCTCAGTACCTTCAGCAGTGCCTGACACACAGTAGGTGCCATCCATATGGGTGAGTGAATGAGTGGGTGTCCAGGCAGGAATCCATTGAGTGGGAAGATGATTTACACCCGCTTTGCTTATTAAGGTATATGATTGTGTGCTGGTGATCAGGAGACTGAAGATGGACAGAAGAAGCTGTGTGGGCAGATTGACTTTTTATATCCAAACAGCATTTTCTTTTTCAGGTCTAGCTGTCTGAAAATACTCCAGAAGTTTTCCCTAGGTGTTAAATCAGGCTGTTGCCAATTTTAAATCTGAAGTGAGTTGCTTGATATACAGTGGATTGTACTTTACCTAATCCCCTGTAAACCTTAATCTTCAACACCAAGTAGACACATTTTGTGTTGGAAGGCCCTCCCTCTCTGGTCTTAGAGCTCCCAAACAGCCTGCAAGAAGTACCTTTCTTAAAATGTTGTAAAACTTTATCCTGTGACTTCATCACCCTCCCCTTCTATAGGAAAAGGGGGACCCCAAGCCTTACCTGTTTGAAAGATGAAGTTTACAAGCAGATGTCTTCCTGGAAAGCAGAGCCATCTTGTGCAGGAACTGCTCTCCCTCCCCCAGGCCCCTGACTTCCTTTGCAGGGTGAACATTATCAGGATATTTGTGACCTTTAGGTTTCACTATAATTTTTCTGCCTTGAGGAGAATAGGTTTAGAATTCAGACGCCACTATGTAAGACCTGCTGAGCTGTTGTGGATTTATGTGGTTTTTCAAATTTAGATCCTTGAAGAAACAGAAGGGTTTTTTAAATTAATTTATTTTAACACCTGCTTAAATAAAACTTGTGATGTGGTAGGCACATTTCTAAGGGTCTTACAAATTTTAGCTTACTTCAATCTTATGTTTTTGCAACTTTTCAACAACAACAAAAAAGCTTTTTAAATGAGCTGGGCAGGGGTGAAATAAAGATTCTGCCATTAGGAGTCTGGTCAGGGAGCCCAGGACTCTGGGCTCCCTCTTGGGCATTATGCTGATGCTTCCTGCCTGCTGGGCAGTGAGGGAGAGAGAGTGGCTGGAATGGTCTGTGGCTGGGACAAACAAACCTCACAAGGTCATTGCAACCTGTGTAAAGAGGGACAGATTGTCTTAATGTTTTTACAGTAATGGGGCCTGATTGGAGAACCCAGCCGTTAGCCAGCTAGCCCAGTGAGGCATGAAATGAGGCATGATAGTTAGTGGCTATCCTTTTCTGAGCCCTCCTTAGCTAAAAGAGTGTTTGGCACTGTTACTGTGGCCTTGTGGCAACCAGTGGCTAGTTTACTAAATTTGCTACTTCCAAGTGTTCTGATACTGAGTTTTTGGTGCTGAATTCCTATATGCTGCAAGGTGGAGGGAGGAACCTCCCAGGAAGTAAAAGTCCTGGCCCTTGATCTTTCAGATATTGGTTGGGATCAGGGCAGCCCTAGGTAACTGCCTCCCCTTTGCCCTGTCCTGGGAGGTCTCCAGCCTCAAAGTGTTGTCCTCCGTTAGCATCTGAGCCTCTTCCCATTGTCCTCGCCTCTGGGCCATACAGTTGTGCAGTGCTTCCTGGCATTATCCCTTCCCTTGTAATCCCAGCCACCCATACCACTATAGGAATTCTTCCCTGGATATTAGACTTTAGGGGGTGGGGTGTTACCCCCCAATACACAACACCACCACCACTACCACAAATACAAATAGCATTATTCGTCAAAGTGTATGCTTATCATCCTTTATATGTAACAAAAGTATCTTGCTCTTGCAAACTATATTTGCTTAATTGTCCTGCTGGGATAGATCCAGATTTTGTTGGTCCTGAAGCTTAGGCAATTTAGGAACTCTCTTTAAGAAAAAAATGCAGAATTACAAATTCAGTATTAGGTACAAAAATTACTAGAGTAAGAAAAATCATAACATTATAAATTTTAAGATACTAACAAATACAATAAAACAAAATAATTATTTAACTGCTTCTCAATCTTCTTTCACTTTTTTCTCACTGTATCTTCCAGTAACAGTGATCTTGTAGCATTTTCTTTTTTTTTTTTTTAAATATTTTATTTATGCTTACAGAACTGGGGTACAGGCCAGAGTTGTGTTGGGTGAGTGGATTCACTAGAAACAGAGTGGGGAGCAGAACAGGCATATCTACTGAAATACACTGCTGAGGGGAGTAGCGGGCGACACAGGAGAGGTCTGCATGCCATGTGGGTCAGCTCCCTGGCCAGGGATTGAACTTGTGCTTCAGTGGCTTCGTAGAGCTTCAAGAGCTTCATAATGCCGTGCTTTACCCCGTTGTGCGACCAGGGAGAGCCCGATCTTGTAGCATTTTCTATGAAGAAAATAGAAAGATTTCCCAAAATCAGCCTTTCCTCTAGCATGCCTGACTAAAATTAATTACTATTAGTTTATCTGAGCTTATTCTAGTCTTCAAGCTTGTTAATGAATTTTTAGGTGCCATAAAATGAGAATCCTGTCAATTTTCTTTTATATATGAGTTGTAAGATGTGGAAGAATTTTCCATTGGCAAGCGTAGAAGCTAGTGCTCCATACAGTTGAGGTTTGGTCTCTTTCCTTGATTTCCTTGATTCCAGCTGCTGCTTGACATGCTTACATGCTCCCCTGGTCCTGCATGTATGTCACCAGGACAGATCAGTTAGTGTGACAGTAGAAGCATTTCTTGCAGTCATTCCTACATAGGGTAGCTAACAACTCATACACAGGTATGACTGTCAACCCCACAGAAAATCCCATCTAACCCCTAGTAAATGCATTTCCACTCATCTTCTCTTCAGCCAAAAATACCCATATCAATTCCACTGCCAATTGACATGAAATATGACAGAGGGTAGGTCAGAGTGGGAAAAGTCAGCAGTTATACTATAATTAGAATAGCTCACTTTTGCAAATTTGAGACAATTTGAACACATGTTGTTCCCATACCTGACCATGTGACACATTGCTTGGGTCCCTAGCAGAGCTTTAAGTGAACTTTAGCTTCATTAGCTGAACAGTAAATCCACGTCTGTTTAGAGATAACAGAATCTCAGGACTCCACCTTAAGTACTCCAGACCTCTGGCCTTTCTAGCTGGCCTTACATAGCTCTGCAGGTTAGAGTGGGGCCTGTTGTCCCAACTGCCCCTGAATGGATCAGTCCTTTGTCTAACTAGCTTGAACTACTCTACTCTGTTTTCAAAACATACATTGCACTTTCTTACACTTCTAGCTGTGCTTGTTGAAAACTATACTCATCTTTCAAGACCCAGCTCCTGGTTGCCTACTTCAGGGACTATGCCTACCTTCTTCATCTTCCTTATGTCTCTCCACGTCTCTGTCAAGGTGTTCCCAGCTAAGTTTATGCCAGGTCAGACCCGTGTGTCTTCCTTATAGTTGCTGGTCTGAGTAGTGCCGTTGACCTTTGGCTCCAGGAACAGAGAGCATATTGGAGGCTTTGTATTGCTAATAAAGTGGTGTTTTTATTTGTGGTTTTGGTTTGTATCAATTACACAGAATTTAGTAAGTGCAGTACTTTGAAAAGTTCTAATCTGAAAAATGTAGTGCCCTGCCCCATTATCCTTATTCTTTTTCTCAGAGATCACTTTCACTACTCTGATAGTTCACCCATTTTCTAAATAATAGTTTTAGACATATTTACACCACGTGACTGCATTAGCTAGTTCCTTTGGTTTACATGTTCACATTCTGATGACCACAAATCTATATCATGCCAATCAGTCTAGTTGTATTACAGTTCCTTTTCTTACACAACTTGTATTTTCCTTCAATATAAAAAAAAACAGCTTTTTTTTTTCCCAACTTCCCTACAGCAGTTTTAACACTCTTCATTTTTGTTGCTGGAAAATGTGGTCCTCATAGCAATACTTACATCAGATGCATCTGGAAGGTTTACTAAAGCAAGCAGAATCCTACCAGAGTTTCTGGTATGTGAGGTCTGGAGTGAGGCTTAGATTTTATCTTTCTACCAAATTCCCATCTGATACTGATGTTGCTGGTCTGAGATCACTCTCTGAGAATCACTGCTGTATAGTAGATATTTGACTCTTCTCATTTAACTCTTATGGAAACTTTGAATATTGTCCAGTTTAGAATTGCCCTGAATG